CATGCGATTTTGGACGATTTTGGACCCCCCCCCCCCTTCGTCACATGCCGTCACAAATAGTCAGACCCCCCCCCTCAAATTTGACGTCACAAAGCTCTGCCCCCCCCCAAAATATAGATATAAAATATGCTTCAAATCGCTTTAAACTATTGTCATTGTAGTGCGTATTTAATGTGCCGCTGCATTCTGATGTTGTAGGAGAAATCATTTATTAAAAAGTCTATTTAATTAAGTAGAACGTGTTATCTATATTTATTTAAAGTTGCGCATTTTGATGTGACGTCACATTTCTCAAACCCCCTCCCCCTCGTCACACATCGTCACAGATGTCTGACCCCCCCCCCAGGTGCGTGACGTCATTTATGTACGGCCCCTGACTAGTACAGCACACCGGTGTGTTGGAGAGTAAACCCACAACATTTAAAGTAAACCCGCTCTAACCCAAACATCTCTGTTGTTAATATTGGTCGCGAAAGCCCGACGTATTAAACTGTATCTGTGAGTTGTGTGGCTCTGTCTTGCAGGCGGAGACAGAGGGTTGCGTGCGAGCATCATCAGCTCTGTCTGCTGCTGCGGAAGCGTTATCGATCAAGCGGGGATCAAGGATGCAAGGTGGCTTCTGTGACTCCCCGCAGACAGAGCGAATAACCCGGCACGCAACCTCTGTCGCGCCGCTTGCTGTGGTATTGCAAGGAGCAAGGATGTAGGTGTACCACAGCTTCGATGTGAGTGAGTGTGTTTGAAGATAGCGCCTCAAAAGGTTGTGTGCGGTTATCGGCTCTGTCTGCTATTGTGACGTGGTCGCTGTCCGTAATCTATGAATGTTTGACATGGCGTGTTCTCCTCGCACGAGGTCAACGATATGGATAAATATAGGAAATGGTCACACATTCCCAGCGGCTAACTCTCCTGGTTACATGAATCATGCACGAGGTTCCGGGAAACTGTTCTGAGCAAATGACCAAACAATAATAATAACAAAAACATTAACCACGTACATTTTATTCGCCAGGATAGCCTCGATGAGTCTCAGTCCTTATTTTCAGGAGGGTTCTGCTAAGGACGAGCACTGCCCGCGCATTTGCGAGGAATCTAACTCAGTCAACAACATCAACAACAACAACATGACATATCAACAACACCCACATTGCCAACAACAATATAACATGTCAACGTCGACTACGACTTGACGTGTCAACAACAACATGGACAAAGTTACATCAACAGCCTAGATCTTATTGTCCGTATCACCAACAATGTGATACGGTAAATGGACGTGCGCTTCAGGTCCACACAGACGGGTTCACGAGCCCATCTGCGCTATACCTCCAACCCCTTACCCTGGCCACCGCCTCGCACCCCAGCGAGGTCTGGGAGCTTTATACATCTCCCGCTCAAGCTGCGTGTGTCATTTGGTTGTACGTGCCACGTGCTGTTCGGCTTGATGCCCGACCAGTAGCGTGGGGGCAGGGGGTGGCCAAAGCTACAAATTGCCCCCTCCCCTTGACAACGACCATGAGATATGTTTTCAACAACAGTCCAGATACAGGGGCGGGAAATTTTTTTCTGCCAAGGGCCATTTGGATATTTATATAACATCATCATTTGCGGTCCATACAAAATTATCAACTTAAAAATTAGCCCGTTATATTTGGTCAACCATTTAATTAACTCACCCCTAATGCGATGGCTGGAACTGCTTCTCTTTGGCGAGGCGTGTGATGATGTTAGCCGGTATTGACGATGTTGCTACTCGCAACTGCTTTTCCAGGTTTGCTCCTAGATTTATTGAATTTCGAGTCCCGCCTGCGGTTGCCTTGGCAGGGCCAGAGACCAGTTGATTTCGCGGGCCTTATACGGCCCGCGGGCCGGACGTTCCCCACCCCTGGTCTAGAAAAAAACAAAACTGATTTCAAACGCGGCTTAAATGTATTGTGTTCGTAATGCTTTAATTTGGTAGTGGCTGCATTTTGCGAAGACGGAGCGCCCCTAACAGCATTACATGTTCGAAACCGTGAGCGTAACGATGTGATTAGGCAAGAGTAGCTGCGATATATAATAACCTATGCCCGACCGTGCGAGATAATTTAACCATTGGGGCCCCACCTGACCGATTGCCGTACCCTCTGAGCTGATAACGTCGTTACTACGCCACTGGGTCCGACGGTTCGCAACGTCCCCCTCCGCGTGCTCCCCCCTGCACGCGGAGGGGAACGTTGCAACATCGTGCCGAGCGTGGGTCGCCACCTTTTCCACCATAGACCAAACCCGGACAAATCTCTCAGACAGCACTGGGACTAAATTTAGACTTAAAACTTTCGTGACTGCAGGAATTCATATTCTTGGTTCTTTCGGTAAAGTCACGTAAATAGAAAAAAATGAAAAATAAAAAAGAATAAGATAAAATAACAAAATAAAATGCAAATAGTTAATTTAAAAGAAATAAAAGCAAAAAACCCACGACGTTTCGATCGCAAAAAAAAACGGTCTTCATCAGGCGGAGAGATTAAAAAAAACCCCCACGTGCGGTCTACCGCGATAAAGTTCAACACAGCAACGCCGGTGCCAGATCTCGCTACAAACCAATTCCTACCGCCGCCCCAACACAGACGACGATTCCCGGGACTGTTCGTGCAACAAAAAAAAAAAACCCGGTGAAACCCGGGCAGGTGGCAACGGGCACGCCGAACTACACAGCACAACCCGGACATCTCTGCGCGATCCACCAACCTTTAGCTCCAAAGCGCAATGCCACAGCACGCGTTGCCACGACGCCCGGATCATTACAGGCGATGCGTCTCACAGGGGTAAAGAAAAGGAATGTGTTGCGGTGCAAGGGGGAGTAGGGACCCCGCTTCGAGGAGCATCCCCGATACAGGAGACCCTTCTGTCCCCGAGACTCTCCAACCCGTGGGGGGGGGGGGGGGGGTCGTGATTCTCCCCCCCATTTGAGCCTCAAAGCCTTGAGCTTCAGCAACAGCGACATCTAGCGGTTGAGATTAGGTAGTGAAATAAATGGCCAAAACGCATTCTTACAATAACTCCAACACGTTATGTGTCAATAGGACGCTGTGTGGCGTTAAAAGAAAAAATATATATAACGGGCGACGTTTCGGGCAACGTCCCTTCTTCATAGCACGCAATTAGAAAGATCAGAGAGCCTGGGCGGATCATAATATTTGTAGACTGCACTTTATAATAGACGATTTTAGGGTTAGATCGCGTAAATATGAATGTGTCGTTAAACCCGTCACCACCCGACACAGCCAATTAGTAAGTTTTGTCACGTGAGAAAAACATACCAATTCGTTACTAGTGCAGCACACCGGTGTGTTGGAGAAGAAATCCACAACGTGACAAACCTTACTAATTGGCTGTGTCGGGTGGTGGCAGGTTTAACGACATATTTATATATTTACGTGATCTAACCCAGAAACCTATATTATGGATATTGGTCGCGAAAGCCTTCATGTTAAACAGACTGCACTTGTTAACACGATGGGGTAATGTGCCCTATATTGTCCCTCCACATGAAAAAAAAGTTAAAGGAATTTTTTTACACATCTCATCAGCCACGCGGTTTTCTGTGAGCGCATGATTTGAGCACGATTGGTTCGATACAAGCAACACTCTGGCTCGATAGTGGACGGGTGTCTCGGAGGTCAGAGACGGTGATCCTGCACAACTTTAGTTTAAATAGTTAATCGTTATATCTGAGACGCCTGGGTTTGCGTCCCGGTATCAACCACGAATGGTGAAACCCATGTTTTCTCGTCTGGCCAATTGGTGGTCTCAACCCGGTCACCGATTACTGCACACAAATGTATGTATGTTCAACTTCTTTCGCACTGTAAGTGGCCAACTGTGCTCACCGGAGGTGCGGAATTGTTACATAAAGTGAGGGTTTTACTGAATTTGGCAAAATTCCAGGCATGAGATTTGAGTATCGCATAGTTATCCCTGCAACATTATCTGGTGATGCTGCTGTTGCGTTGGTGGTGGTGGTGCACTCGCACGATTAACAACAACATTCAGCACATTCGTCGATAACAACGCTGTGTGGTCTTAAAATGAGTATTTACTATCTTGATTTGAAGCTTTCGTGACTGCAGGAATCCATACGCTTTGGTTCTTTCGTTAAAGTCACGTACGTATAAAATAAAATAAATCACGACGTTTCGGGCGCAACACAAGTGGCCGGGGCTATTGATGTTAATGTGATAAATTAGCATGTAACTGTAATTTCTCACATTAACATCACTAGCCCCGGCCACTTCTTTATGATCCTTGGGCTACACCCATTTCAAACCTTTTAAAACAGTCTGCCTCAGCAGCAGACCATGCTTTCCCACCTGATGACGGACGCTTGTGTTGCACCCGAAACGTCGTGATTTATTTTATTTGATACCTACGTGACTTTACCGGAAGAACCAAAGAGTATGTGTCTTTACTAGGTGACGTGTCGGGCAATGGTCCTTCTTCACGGCGCACTCTTTTCTCTTGAGCACCGTGTGTGGGAAAGTGCGCCCCTTGGTGCGGCACTCGAAGCGATTTCAGCCACCACTCTGTGATATCTGCTTCCGCGGGTCAGCCTGTAACTCAAGGTGATGGCGCTGCTTACCGACAGAGTTCCCCGCGTGAGCATTTGTCTCATGGCAAACACGCGGACAGCACGAGAGGGAATAACAGGTGCGAAATTACAAGATGAATACAAGCTTCTAACACGTAGGTTTTCGCGACCCAAATATTATCTATAATAAAGGATTTTTGTTGTTAGATCGTGTATATGAAAATGTGTCGTTAAACCCGCCACCACCCGAATTGGCACGTTTTGTTTACGTGACAACCCTTACTTATTGGCTGCGTTGGGTGGTGACGGGTTTAACGACACATTTATAATTACGAAATCTAACCCAAAAAAACCCCTCTATTATGGATAAATGCAAGCTCTCAATCTTGATCGTGAGTCGGTAATTCACCATATCAGCCAATTACACGAGTTTAGGGTTTTAATTAGGTTTATTATAAACGTGCACTGGTTATGAACAACACGTGAGAAGTACAGATAAAAAAAATACTTGAACCCCATTCAGGCGCCGTAGACCTATTGTTGTGTTCGTGGTCACGATGGCAGCGATGTGTTGAGACCCATGCCGATATCGAGATCTGCTCGCTGCGACGAGAGGGCTTCAGTAGAGATAACAGAGTGAGTTCATATAGTGTTGACATTTAAAATCCGGGCTTTTGTCGGTTGTATAACAATAATACTACTCCACCACTCAAGGCCACGCATTCCCATGTAGTTCTCCACGATTCCGTGATGCAGTAATGGGATATGTTTCATCTTCTTCCCATGATTCGTCCCCAATTTTTTGTAGCTCGGAGGTGGAAACCCCAAGCCAAGGCGACCACGTTGGTAGTCACTGCTCGTGGAACCAGGATGGCCGGCGTCTGTGTCTACAATTGTGGAGCTACCATCATCAACAACGACAACAATGCGCCAATAATAATTACAACCGTTCACACGCTACCGCGACGGGGCTAATTGAAACGCGGGCAACGCTTAACATTTCACTTTGTGTGTGTTTTAGCGAGTTCCTAAGAAATGAAAATCACGCAATGTACAGAGAAACGAACAGACACAAAACGGTTAACGTTTAAGTTAGAGGCGGGGGCTTTGTAACGACAGCGAAAGAGAGCGAGAAGACGAACGACGGGTCTGGCGAGAGGAGGCGAGGCGACGCAAGGTGCTGTCCGCTTTATCCTCAGACGGCTCACGCTCAGCACCGCGAGGGGTTTACGCAGCGTCGCGAGGCGGGCCGCGTGGCGGGCCGCGTGGCTCGAGCCGCTGGCAACGGATCAGCGGGCGTCTGCTTATTTCGCGGAGGAAGAAGAGGCGGTCAGCCATGGGCGCATGAGCAAAGGAAAGCCTTGAGCCGGGGACTTTGAACCTGGGCAAGGGAGTCCACTGCACGGACTGCTGGGGGGGCTCCAGGCCACGTTGGGCAGCATGAGTGGAATGAGCGACCTCCCACAGAGCGAATGTTGACTGGGGCCTCAAACTGCACTTTTTATGGTTATTCTGGAATGGGGGGAACGACGCGAGGGGGATTTCTGGTTTCATGGTTCTGTCTACAATTGAATCGTCCACTCAATATTCGATCTAAGGACAAAGACCCCCCCCCCCCCATATAGCACAGCGACACGAGGGGGTGGGTGGCCAGCACTGCGCCCGGCCGCCTTTGTCTCCCTCGTGGGCGATATGCTTACACACCGCACCGGGTACTTATTTTAGACTGAGTCGACGTAGGTGAGGCCCAGAACCGGTTCAGATAATCGTCACTGGTGTAGGTGGCCGTGAGCGGGAATCGAACTCGGGTCGATATAAACACACGCGCGCGCGTGACGAGTCATCGCGTTGCGCTGGGGACGAAGCGTCTCACTCAGACAACACCGTGTCCACAACCACCGCCGAGGAAGAGCATGGGGGAGCAGCAGAGAGAGGGGACGCGAGAGAGAGAGATTGAGGAGAGAAGGCAGGTAGTGAGGGCTGACGCAACGACTTGGGAAGGGCTTCACCCAGCAGTGGATTGATCATGGCTGATGACGACATTGAAGACATAAGGAGGGATTGGAGAGGGGTGGGGAGAGGGAGAGTGACATTGAGCTTTTAGATCATAATGGAGATGTAACGTGAGAGAGAGCCAAGGGAGAGTGAAAAAAGTCTCCCTTGGGTGCTCGCTGACTTTAAAATGAGAGAGCTAAGGAAGAGTTAAAGAGAGGTCGGCAACTGAGCAATACGTTCGCGAGAGAGCTGTGTCATGAGAGTTAGAGATAAGGGAGATAGGGAGAGACACAGAGATGGGGATCAGAAGTGGTGCTCGGTGACTGTCGAGCGAGAGTGAGAGAGTTAAGGGAGAGGGAGGGAAAGAGGGAGGGAGGGGGGGATCAGAAGGGGTGCTCGGTGACGAAGATGCTCAGGCGAATGATGGAGCTGCCGCGCGTGCCGGCCGCCGGGTTGATGGTCAACATCTCGAGGTCCAGCACGAGGTCGCGGGGCCCCGTCACCGGGCGAGTCAGCACCAGCATCGCGCTCGCAGAGCCGATTTGCTGTGAAGCATCAACATCATCATCATCAACATCATCATCATCAACATCATCATCCCCAGCGTCATCATCATCATCCATCCCTTCCCCATCATCAAGTCACACAGCATCGCATCCTTCTGTCACATCGTTTTGTATCGCGGCCCCGCGCGTCATCGCGTCAAGTTGCGTCGCGGTTTCGCATCGTGTCGCAGTCGCGTGTCATCCTGTTGTGTCATTACTGCAGCGTCGTAGCGTCGTGTCGCGGCGTCACCGCCGTGTCGTCGCGTCGTGTCGCGGCGTCACCGCCGTGTCGTCGCGCCGTGTCGCTACCCGCATGAGGAAGTGGCCCGCGTCGTCGCCGGCGGCGATGCGGAAGGTGTAGAAGGCGCCCGGGTACTGCGCCGTCGCCTGCATCTGGAAGACGTCGGAGGGAGCGGTGCGGCCGGCCTGCATCTGCATCGCCTTGTGCAGCACGATGTACGGCTCCTCGCGGCACGCCGGGATCTCGCCGGGGCACACGCAGCGGCTACGGCGACAGACACGTGCAGGATCGTAGTGCAGGACTGTAGTGCATGCTTATATGGTGCAGGGTGCAGGACTATAGCACGTGGCTGTATTGCAGGGTCGCAGTGCATAGTGCAGGGTGGAACACCCCGCCCGCCTCACTTGTCCCCGATGAGCGTGTAGGGCGCACTGCAGGTGAGACGCGGGAGGCAGCGGTGGCTGCCCTGCACGTTGAAGCAGCTCGCGCCCTCGGGGCACCCGTGGCTGCCCTCCTCGCACTCATCCACGTCTAGCGGGGGAGCAGGGTAGGGGGAGCAGGTGGGGGGGAAGGGTAGCGAAGCAGGGCAGGGGAGTAGTGCGGTCGTTGTTACTGCTAAGCGGTTTTTGTGAGTGGTGTGGTGTGCAGCGTGTGGTTATTGGTGCGGTGTTCGGTGCGGTGCATGGTGTGATGCATGGTGTGGTGCTCGGTCGGTATGGTGTGGTGCTCAGCGTGATGCGTGGTGTGGTTTTCGGTGTGATGCATGGTGTGGTGCATGGTGCGGTGCTCGGTATGATACATGGTGTGGTGCATGGTGCGGTGCTCGGTGTGATGCATGGTGTGATGCATGGTGTGGTGCATGGTGTGGTGCATGGTGCGGTGCTCGGTGTGATGCACGGTGTGATGCATGGTGTGATGCATGGTGTGATGCATGGTGTGGTGCATGGTGCGGTGCTCGGTGTGATGCACGGTGTGATGCACGGTGCGATGCACGGTTTGATGCATGGAGTGATGCATGGTGTGGTGCGGGCGTGGGGCGCATTACCGCGGCAGCTGCGCATGTCGCTCTGCAGGCGGTAGCCATGCGGGCACGAGCAGGCGTAGCTGCCCGCGTGGTTCTCACAGCGGAACTGGCACAGGTACTGCGAGAACGCGCACTCGTCCACGTCTGCCGCGGGGGTACGCGGGGGAGCAGGGGGTCACAAATGGGGTACGGAGGGAAGGGGAAACAGGCAGAGATCAATGGGGGATGTACGAGTTTTTGGGACAGGCTTATTGTGGAGAGGGAGCGGGAGCAGGTAGGGAAGGGGATACATAGAACCATGGGGGGTATAGGGGTTCAGTGGACTCAGGGGTATTGAGGGGACAGGAGTTTCACGAAGACACAGGGGATCACTGGGATATAAGTAAAATTGTGGACCCAGATTATTTGGAGGGCTTTTCTCATATCATCACTACCATGATGATGGTAGTGATGGTAGTGAACATGAACATCAACGTATTAATTATCGCCATTACTACCATCACCACCACAACATTGAAATCACTCTCGTGTGAGCGTTCAATATTCTCTTCTTCAAATATCGAAGCGTCGCAATGCCCACCAATCATCATCTATCACTCATACCACCATCATCGTCATCGACAACATTCACAATACAATTATCTCTACTGCTGTTAATCATGATCATTGCTATAATCATCAATACTTTTAATCCCATCATCACTGCGATCAGCAAATCCCATCGACTCCCTGGATACGCTTGCAAACCAGACGTTGAATCCAGGGAATTTCCAGGCAATGTATTTTAATGAAAACAATTAGTAAACATAAATTATTTAAAAAAAATTAACCAGGAAAGTGTGAGCCTGAAGACTCGCGTTCACTGGGATATTTTGGGGATATTTTTTTTTACTAACGCCGTTAGTGACAACAGTTTAGCTTCGCGCCGGAAGCAAGCGGATATCCCGGATTAAACAAAAAACCCCACCATGCGCATAAAGCTCCACACAGATGGATTCAAGAATTCCGCTGCATGACCTCTCACCTCGGCATGACCTCTGGTCCCCGTCCAGCTCGAAGCCGCTGTCACAGCGGCACAGGAAGGAGCCGTAGAGGTTAAGGCAGTTTTGCGAGCAGGGGCGCTCCACCTCGCACTCGTCCAGATCTGCAAGGTCAACCAAGGTGACCAACACACGGGGTGCACCATATAAGGTCAACTATGTTTGGGGGGGGGGATGAGATCAACCAAGGGTGGCAACAATGCAGGGGTCAATCACTTTGCGTCCACGATGGCGTGTGGGCGTGTGAGGCTGCTACCTGCGCAGGTGTGTGGTCGTGGTACCTGCGCAGGTGTGGTACCCTGTACAGGTGTATGGCACCTGTGCAGGTGTGTGATACCCTGTATAGGTATATGCCACCTGTACAGGTGTGTGATACCCTGTACAGATGTATGGTACCTGTGCAGGTGTGTGGTAGCCTGTACAGGTGTGTGGTAGCCTGTACAGGTGTATGGTACTTGTCCAGTTGTGTGATACCCTGTACAGATGTATGGTACCTGTGCAGGTGTGTGGTAGCCTGTACAGGTGTGTGGTAGCCTGTACAGGTGTATGGTACTTGTCCAGTTGTGTGATACCCTGTACAGGTGTATAGTACTTGTCCAGTTGTGTGATACCCTGTACATATGTATGGTACCTGTGCAGGTGTGTGGTAACCTGTACAGGTGTGTGGTAGCCTGTACAGGTGTATGGTACTTGTCTAGTTGTGTGATACCCTGTACAGATGTATGGTACCTGTGCAGGTGTGTGGTAGCCTGTACAGGTGTGTGGTAGCCTGTACAGGTGTATGGTACTTGTCCAGTTGTGTGATACCCTGTACAGATGTATGGTACCTGTGCAGGTGTGTGATACCCTGTATAGATGTATGGTACCTGTGCAGGTGTGTGGTAGCCTGTACAGGTGTGTGGTAGCCTGTACAGGTGTATGGTACTTGTCCAGTTGTGTGATACCCTATACAGATGTATGGTACCTGTGCAGGTGTGTGGTAGCCTGTACAGGTGTGTGGTAGCCTGTACAGGTGTATGGTACTTGTCCAGTTGTGTGATACCCTGTACAGATGTATGGTACCTGTGCAGGTGTGGTAGCCTGTACAGGTGTGTGGTAGCCTGTACAGGTGTATGGTACTTGTCCAGTTGTGTGATACCCTGTACAGATGTATGGTACCTGTGCAGGTGTGTGGTAGCCTGTTCAGGTGTGTGGTAGCCTGTACAGGTGTATGGTACTTGTCCAGTTGTGTGATACCCTGTACAGATGTATGGTACCTGTGCAGGTGTGTGGTAGCCTGTACAGGTGTGTGCTAGCCTGTACAGGTGTATGGTACTTGTCCAGTTGTGTGATACCCTGTACAGATGTATGGTACCTGTGCAGGTGTGGTAGCCTATACAGGTGTGTGCTAGCCTGTACAGGTGTATGGTACTTGTCCAGTTGTGTGATACCCTGTACAGATGTATGGTACCTGTGTAGGTGTGTGGTAGCCTGTACAGGTGTATGGTACTTGTCCAGTTGTGTGATACCCTGTACAGATGTATGGTACCTGTACAGGTGTGTGATACCCTGTACAGATGTATGGTACCTGCGCAGGTGCGGTTGTCGGCCGCAAGGCTGAACCCGATGCTGCATGCGCAGCGGAACGAGCCGGGCGAGTTGAGGCACTGGTGGGAGCAGAGGCCCAAGCGACACTCATCCACGTCTGTGCGGGCAGGGGTCAGGGGAGGTAGAGATGGGATCAAGCACCCGCTCCTAACCCAAACCCTGGGTCCCAGTCGCAAACCCCAGTCCTAGTCTTGGCCCTGCTCGCAATCTGTATCATCGGCAGCAGCAGCAGCCATGATCAATCCACTGCTGGATGAAGTCCGTCACCACCTCTCACCGCGCTCTGAATCCCGGTGCAAAATGCGGGCTCTCAGACCCCCACTGCCAGTCCAGATTCAGACACCAGTCCGAGATGCCAATACCATTGAGCAGTCCTCATCCAAACCTAGGCCCCCCTCCCCCACCGGGCATACCCCCCCCCCACCCAGTGCCGGATTAAGCTAGTGCAGGGCCTGTAGCATATGTTATAAAGGGGCCCTAAATAAATAAAAAACACGTAAATATTAAAACACAATTTTTTTACTTGCATAGTAAAGTTATTGTATTTTTTCATTTGCTATACAGCTAGATAATACGACAAATCGCGAACCTTAAACACCTAGTCGTTAGTAAAAGTATAAGGCAGCATAGTAATAGAGCAAGTGCAGAATCACTGAACGGGAATTGATAGCTTGAAAGCATTTAGCGCGGGGCCCTTGAAAGTGCGGGGCCCGTAGCACATTTAGCTACTTTTACTACTACTACTACGATGATCCGGCACTGCCCCAACCCCGGCCCCACGTGGTACTCACCCACGCACTGCGCGCCCAGCAGGGTGAAGCCATCCGGGCAGCGGCAGCTGTGGCTGCCGGCCTCGTTCACGCACCGCTGTCCGGGGCGGCAGCGGTGCGAGCCACGGGCACACTCGTCCACGTCTACACGGGGTGGGTGAGACAACGCGGGCGGAGACACGCAGGCGTGAGACAATACGGAGACACGAGGGAGACACGCGTAGGAGACACGGGGGAGACACACGGAGAACACGGGACACAATCACAGGCGTGAGACACGGGACACACACGGGCGTGAGGCACACGGAGACACGGGACACAATCACAGGCGTGAGACACACAGAGACACGAGGGAGACGCACGGAGACGCAAGGGAGACAACAATGGAGAAACACAAGGGAGATACACGGGGGAGACACACAGTCTTGCCAACTTCTTAAAGGGGAAAATCGCTAAACGACACAAGCGTTCTCGTGTAATCAAACATGAGTCTTTAGATGATGTTAGTTTTCCCAGAAACGCTTCGCCGAGTTGCAGGAGGGTCCCACCAAGCGATCGCAGTCGGGGGGTGGGCGGGGTGATGCTGCTGCTGCTGCGCGTGGGACCCCAAATTAGTCATTTGCAGGTAACTTTTCAAAATTGGGATGTTTATTGTGTGTGCGTGTTTAACTTTGGGAAGAGGCTAGAGAGCCCGGAGGAAATGCACGCAGAACAGGGGGTAGAGCATGCACACTCCTCCACACGGAGAGGCGTCTGAGTTGAGACTTGAACCCAGGGGCGTTGTGCTGCGAGGCACGACCCACGGCACTGCTAACACCCTGGCGGCCCTGGCATCAGTCACGAGACGACGACTACCACGACGCATCACTCGCAGGGAAAACGAAAAACGAGATCTATGATCCGAGTAGGAGGAGTGAGCAGGGCGCAGCGGGGAAGGAGCAGGAGGGGGAAGGTGGAGGAGGAGGATTGAGAGAAGGGAATGGGGTGGAAGGAAGGAGAGGAGTGGAGTCCGTGAGGGAGGAGAGAAGGAAGCTGCTCGAGGTGGTGGTGGGGGGGGCTCACCCACACAGCGCCCGGCAGAGTCCCCCTCGTACCCCGGCGAGCAGACCACGTGGGGCGCCCTCACCGGGGGGTCCGAGTAAGGGCCCTGGGGTCGGGGGGCCGGGGGACCGGGGGGCGGCTCGACCAGCTCCCCAGCGCTGAATGCCAACCGCTCCAGCGCGGGCAGCGCCGCGGGGGGACGAAGAACCGAAGGAGGCCCGGTGGAGGTCCCCTGGGTTCGCGGGGGTGCCGCGGGGGGCTGTGTCCCCCTGTGCCCGTCCTGGGCGGCGCCGCCTTCCTCGGTGCCCACCGTGAAGATGAGCGTGGCGGAGTGTGGCAGGCAGAGGTAGCCCCCGAAGTTGTTGACGCAGCGCAGGCCGCCCTTGCACGCGTCGGTGATCGTCAGGCACTCGTCTATGTCTGCGGACGCGGGGTTCGGGTTCAGGGCCGTGGCATCTCGGGGTGAGAGGGGGGATGGGCGGCGCAGGCTGCGGCGGCGTGGGTACCGTGCTGCATACATTTTGAATGCGCGCAGGCAACTTCGGCGCCACGTTGCGACGGCAAAGCACACCGTGACACGTGAATCGCGCGACTTTACTCATTATCTACAGGGTGTGCACGTGCCGATCTCTTGTGTATTGCGGACTCAGTAACCTGGGCTGGTGGTGGGACCGGTGGGTCTTTCTTGGTTTGGGGGTCGCCATACCAAAAGAGGTTTAAAACCTCCGAGTTAGGGGCGCATCGTTATTATCGTCGTCGTCGTGATTAGCAGCGGTAGCTGCACAACGAATATATTCACCTTGATCGAATCTCACAGCCGTCATCACCAATACTGTAGGTACGAACAGCATCAGCAGCATAACCAGCAGTAACATCATCACGTAATAGTCAAAATCATCAATATAAATAGCATCGAAGTCACCAACATCGTTATCGTCATCACCAACAGCAACATCATCATCAACCATCACCACCATGATCATGGTCAAAACACACATCATCATTAGCACCACCATCATCATCGGAACCATCATCACCCCTGCCACCTCTCACCTCTGCACTGGTCAAGCTCGCTGTCCCAGGTGTATCCCTCGGGGCACTGCGGGAAGAGAGAGGGTGGGGGGGCGAGGAAGGGGAGGGGGGATGAGCGTGAGCAGTCCGGGAAACGGTCCCCGTATTTTATTTTGCTCTATGCGGGGTTGGTGGATCACGCGCAGATCAAATCACCCGCGAACGCGCCCAATCACCTCCGGATCTCGGGCGCTCAGCGGGCTTTCGTCTGATTCATGCTCGCATGGGAGTTTGCCTGGGAATACCTCGAGTTGGAGGCGAGGTGGTCAGGAGATGGCAGTAAAGCAAAACAGATTATTGATTCTATCTGTGCGGAGCTTTGAGTTTAATTGAATCGGCCAAACATCCCAATGTAGCAGGACCCTCCTGAAGATAGTTTTTGGTTTTTCGCGGTAACATAAAAGATAAAGGCGCAGCCCTGCAAGTGCTCGCTGAGGCCACTGCTGGCAGAAAGGGCTCCACTGGAGAGCACTCTACAGGGAACCACTCGTGGCTAATTTTGGCCTACTCTTCCACGCTGGCCAGACGGCTTGGACGAGGTGGAAGTACCCACACTTTACCCCACCGCTCGCGACCTGTCCATCATAGACTCAGCATGGTGGGCCCATGTTTGGTGGACGGGGACCCAGCGAGCGAGCGGGGGGGGAGAAGGATTTGGGAAACTCGTCCCATTGGTTCAACTCCCGCGTCGAGCGATCGAATGGAACCGGCGCCTTAGGGATTTACATTCCAGTGCGATAATAATTATACACAACGTGGCATGCGCACAGTTATTATTTACTTATCATCAGCATCGTCAGCATCCTCATGCCAGAGCTATCAAAAAGTTCCATCGGCGAGTTCGTGGTGAAAACAAAAGCACGCGTGGAGGCACACGGCGTTCCCGGGGGGATGGGGTCACGGTCCAGGGTCACGGCTGCGTCGGCTGAGTCCCAGAGCCAAGGCTTTGAGTGTGAAGTTTGGGAGGGCCGCGCCAATATTTAATTAATGTAAATAATCATATATGTATTCATGTGTGTAGGCATGTTTAACTTATTTCACACCGTACGTAGCCAACCGCGCTAATCGGAGGTGCGGGGCAAGGAGAACAAACTAAACACACAAAGCAGTTCTCACGAAATGAGTGAAATTACGATGATCAGATGATGATGATGAATTATCATAATCTCAAATCGTTCCACGTCGCCACACAGTGTTCGTTCTCTCGGATAGAGAGGGAGGGAGGACGACTCAGAGGCGCCAGGAGGAGGAACCACAGACGAGCGGGAAGGCAGCAGCAGCAGCAACCACGCAGTGGTTTGCCGGCGCTTCCAAACAATTGCCCAAGCTCTGCCGTCCTCTATAAATGAAGATGTTTTGAGCCAACTAAGCGAGTGTTTATGCAAGTGGGAGGGCGGGTGCTCCGGTTTCCCCCACCCACGTGCACAGCATAATAAACACAACTCAACATTCATTGCCTGGAAACATGTTAAAATAGAAACCCAATGCAGCAGTATCAGCGACAGAACCCTCCTGAACATAAGTCATGCGACTCAGCGTGGCTCTCCTGGGTAAATACTCAAATTAATTAAATATTAATAACGATTATTGATTAGTATTATGATTCCTAGCCGTGCCGTGTCCTGTCCTATCTCAATAGATTTTTTTAGCGGTATCTCTACTCTGTGCCTGCTCTCGAATCCACGTGCTCCTCCTCTCTCTCTGTCTCTCAGTGGAACCCCGCGGGTACCCCCCGCGATTGGCGTGGGATGCCCGCGTCTCAGCTCCGCGTTGCAGGGAGCCGTTCGCGCTCAGGGAACATTCCCTAACGCCCGAGGACAAGTCGTACATATGTAATCGATTGGTCAGTGTTTGACGCGAGCCTAATCGTCAATTCGAATCGATGATTCTTTACGCGCGCAGACAATGCTCAACTCAAAGTGTCTCGAACATCTACTTTCACGGCGCGAAGCTCGTGCGAGGAAATTCCACTGCCCCATGGCGGGAGCCAGTACATTCATAGGCTGGCTACTCAGTAATTCTAGATTTAAAGCTTTCGTGACTGCAAGGATCCATACTCTTTGGTTCTATTCGTAGGTACCTACGTGACTTTACCGAATAGAACCAAAGAGTATGGCTACTCCGTACCTCCCCAGAAAGTGGTACGAATTTTACCGACCCCGGAAGGATGATTTGTGTTGTATAGCGGTTGGGTGAGCGGCGAGGCGGGACTTACTGGTGAACCCAGTGGGTCCTGAGCTCGAACCCGGACCCCAGACGCCAGGAGCAGCAGCAGCAGCGGCGGACACCACGAGGCGAGCAGCGAATAGAGCATGACTTCCAGAGGGAGACGACAGCCTGGGAGGTGACGGAAGATGAAGAAGTTCGATTCCCGCTCACGGCCAACACCATTGACGATTATCTGAACCGGTCCTGGGCCTCCTCTGGGTCGACTCAGCCTCAAATGAATATCTGGTGCGATGTGTAAACATCGCCATGAGGGAGACAAAAGCGGCCGGGCGTGGTGTTGGCCACCCACCCCCTCGTGTGCCGTGCAGGCTTTTATAGGTGCTGGCTAATAGCACTTGCCCCTACAGTCTGTTCAGGCTACATGGGGGATCTTTGTGAGGTCAGTGGGTGTGTGGGGAGAAATAATTGAGAGATAAGGGGTGAGGTGCCTGGGAGATGAGGAAGAGGTACGGTACTTACCTGGGATATGACGAGGTGAGATGACGCGGTGAGATTACGATCTCCTGCTGGTGCCGCTCTCGAGTTTAATTCGATCTCTGCGTCTCCCCTCCCTGCCTTTCCCCTGTCTCTCCCCTGTCTCTCCCCTGCTTCTAGTCTCTGTCACTCTCTCCACTGCCCGCGCTCTCCTCCTGTCGCTCACTCCGCGTTGTGCCGAGCGAGCGAGGGGAGTCGCGAATTAGAGTCCGGGAGGGGAGGGAGAAAGGAAGAGGGGAGGGAGAGGGGATGGGGTGGAGGGGAGGAAGAGAGGGGAGGGAGGAAGATGAGAGAAGGCAGCAGTGGGGAGGGAGACGGTGGGGGTGTTTGGGGGGGAGGTGCAGTTGATGGTGAAGTGGTGCGGGGTGGAGGCGGGTAGGGGTTTCGGGGTGTTAGTGCGTGGGGGAGAGGGGGGGGGGTGGGCTCTGTGAGTCTCTCTGTGCGTGTGTGCTGCTAAGTGTGTACGTGAGTGTACGAGTGAGTGAGTGTGTGAGTGCACGAGTGAGTGTGTGAGTGAGTGCACGAGTGAGTGAGTGTGTGAGTGAGTGTGTGCACGAGTGAGTGCACGAGTGAGTGTGTAAGTGAGTGCACGAGTGAGTGTGTGAGTGAGTGTGTGAGTGTGTGAGTGAGTGTGTGAATGAGCTACAGAATTTTGCTAACCGCTGTGCCACCCGGGGAGCGGTGGCGCAGAGGTTAGCGCGCTGCGCTACGAGCCCGGCGACCCGAGTTCGATTCCTGCTCACGGCCAATAACGGTGACGACTATTTTAACCGCTAACAGCACTTGTCCCAACAGTATGTATGTTAAGGCTAGACGGGGTATCTTTGTCTGTGTGTGTCTGTATGTGTAGGTATGTGCGTTAACCCCCCCCCCCCCCTCCTCGACTATAATCGACTCATTCTACACCCAGCCCCGCTCCCTAGCGCTGGGCACGCGGCAATTAAAAGCGTTGAGCTCATTAAAGGACTGCGCAATGAATGCCCGGAGGAAAAGGGGGGGGGGGGGGAGGGGGTGATGGGGGGGGTCCACCCGTGAGCAACACGTGCGTTGTGCAGCCCCCTCCCCCCCCCTTCTTTAGAGTCCCCCACCCCACAAGGCTATCTCTGTGTCTCTGTGTCTGCATTCCTCGTGTCGACGTGTCCCCCCCCCCCCCCGTCTTCGTGTCCTCTTGGCGTGTCCTCTTGGTCACCCCGTGTCGATCTCTCTGTCTCCCTGTCTCTCCGTGTCTCTCCGTGTCTCTCCCTGTCTCTATGTCTATGCGCAGCTCTCTCTCTCGTCACGTCTCCCTGCGGCCGTCTCCGCGTCTCTCCTGGGGGCCTCTCTTGCTATTGAGACGACTCTGCGGGGGGGGGGGGGGGGGGGGGGGGGGAGAGAGGAGCGGGGGGGGCGGGGGTGCGAACCCGCGCACAATCGCCTCCTTGTGGCCGCGTTGGGCCCCCCCCCCCCACGGCGCAAGCGGAACAATCAAAGTGGTCACCCCCCCCCCCCGCCCCAAACCCTGGACAACAAAAAGCACAAAATCGAGACAAAACGAACCCCCCCCCCCCGCCTGTACCCCGCCCCCACAACCATCACCACCACGACCACCACTGCTATAATCAGTAGCATCACTCCAAAAGACAAAGATCCTCTCGTATAGCCTGAACAGACTGTTGGGGCACCTGTGAAGGCCGGTAGACGAGAGGGTGGGTGGCCAGCACCAACGGCCGCATTTGTCTCCCCAGTGGCGATGTTTACACACCGCACGAGGTATTAATTTAAGGCTGAGTCGACCTAGATGAAAGCCCAGGACCGGTTCAGATAATCGCTACTCTTATTGGTCGTGAACAGGAATCGAACTCGGGTCGCCGGGTTCGTAACGCAGTGCTGTAACCAGCGCGCCATCGCTCGCCACCAACACCATCACCACGCGTCGCACTGCGCACACTGCACATTCCGCAGCTGCAGCAGTGACAGCAGCAGCTACAACTGCAGCAGTGACAGCAGCAGCTACAGCTGCAGCAGTGACAGCAGCAGCAGCTACAGCTGCAGCAGCAAGCAAGCGCTCGGGCCGAGTGGGTGACGAAGGTGGTATTTGATGTTCCACACGAGGGAGGAGAATTGCCGCTTTGAGCCCCGAGCCGCCGGGAACGATTACCGGTGGGGTTGGTGGGGGGGGAGGCACGGAGCAGGAAGAGTTCAATCGCAGCGAATTAGCGCGCCCATCACCGTCATCCCCATCATCATCCTTCTCCTCCTCCTCGTCATCGTGACTCGGGCAGGGATGATGACGCACGCGACCCGCGGTCTCCTCTGATCCCCCCCCCCGTGTCCGTGTTTGTTCACCGACAATCGCTTACAGATGGAGGGGGGGGGGGGCACGAGAGGAGGGGAGGGGCGTGGCACGAGACGCGATCGCGACGAGATCAGCGACGAAGAGGTGGAGGAGGAGGTTGTGTAGGTGGAGGAGCTGATGGAGTAGGTGGTGAAGGAGGTGAGAAAGGTGGGTGTTGTTTAGGTGGAGGAGGTGATGGAGGCTGTAAATATTGAGGTTGTAAAGGAGGCGCTGGGTGTTGAGTAGGTAGAGGAGGTTCTGGAGGTAGATGTTGAGTAGGCGGGTGGTGAGGAGGTAAATGTTGAGGCGGCGAGGAAGGAGCTGGGTTGTTGTGCAGGTGGAGGTGAGGGATGTGGAGGAGGTAATGAAGGAGTGGATGTTGTGCAAGTGGAGGTGATGGAGGTGGAAGAGGTGATGAGGAGGTGGATGTTGTGCAAGTGGAGGTGATGGAGGTGGAAGAGGTGATGGAGGAGGTGGATGTTGTGCAAGTGGAGGTGATGGAGGTGGAAGAGGTGATGAAGGAGGTGGGTGTTGTACAGGTGGAGGTGATGGAGGTGGAAGAGGTGATGAGGAGGTGGATGTTGTGCAAGTGGAGGTGATGGAGGTGGAAGAGGTGATGGAGGAGGTGGATGTTGTGCAAGTGGAGATGATGGAGGAGGTGATGGAGGAGGTGGGTGTTGGGTAGGTGGAGGTGATGGAGGAGGTGATGGAGGAGGTGGGTGTTGGGTAGGTGGACAGGGTGATGAGGTGACGGCTGAGTAAGCGAATGTTGAGGAGGTGAAGGAAGTGGACGAGGTGGCGGAGGAGGATGATAAATGTTGATGTTGGGGTGTGATGACGAATGAAGAAGTGACGGATGAGGCGATGAACGACGCCCGGTATGCATCACGCCGGGGTCTGGAATTGAACCCTTTCCTTCTCCTGCGCGGCAGGAGAGGCGCCTCTTTGTGAGCTGCAGAACCTCGAGCTATAACGCCCTGCGCACCTAATTGGTCATTGACGCGGTCCTTATGTAACGGGCAACGAGGTGTGTGTAACGTTAGACGAGGTGTGTGTAACGTTAGATTGTGTGTAAACACACTCTCATACCTTACACATACCACACACACTCACCCATCACACCACACACACACACGACCTACATACCTCATACACACACTCCCCACCTTCAAACAAAGATCACCCGTATAGCCTTTAACAGACTGTTGGGGCCAGCGCTGTTGACGAGCATAGGACACGAGGGGGTTGGGTGGCCAGCACCACGCCCGGCCGTCTTTGTCTCCAAAGTGGCGGTGTTTACACACGAGGTACTCATTCAAGGCCGAGTTCACCTAAGAGGAAGCCCAGGACCGGTTCAGAGTTAATCGTCGCCGGTTTTGTTGACCGTGGGCGGGAATCGAACTCGGTTCGCCGGATTCGTCGTGCAGGGCGCTAATCGCTGCACCACCGCTCCACCCGCACCTCACACGTCTAACGGCCCTGGGTCTCCCCAATGTCCCCCTGAGCGTTTGAACATCAGCAATGGGAAGACAAAGGTGGCCGGGCGTGGTGCTAACGGTACTTTCCCCAAACGCCTGACAGTACTATGCCGTGTCGGGGATGTTTGTTGTTGTATGCACGAGTGCGTATGTATCGGCATGCATGGGCATGTATATGCGTGTGTATGTGCGAGTGTGTGTAAGTATGTGTGTGTGTACAATGTGTGTATGAGTGTGCGAGTGTGTGTGTAGTTGTTGCTCTGCATCTATATCAGCCATACGAAATAAGAAGTCGTGTATGTATATAGGATGTAATACTATACGCACACACCCTCACACCGATGCCAAGTGTCACGTGCTGGCTAAATAATGACCCGACTTGTGAATGGGGACCTGGAAACACATTCCTGCGAACGCAACACACACAAACACACACACACATACACACACATACACACATATATACACAATGATCCTCCGTGTAGTCACACCGGCTGTTGGGGCAAGTGTTGTTAGCGAGCCCCTATGCGGGCCGGCTACGCGATGCATGAATGGGTGTACACACACACACACGTTGTGAACACTCATGTAACACACACACACGTCGTGCACACACACGCATGAACACACACACACACGTCTTGTACACACACGCATGAACACGCACGTGTACACCCCACGCACTGACGGACACGCGTGTACACTCACCCAGGCGTGGCCACACATGAGGGCACACGTGTACACCCACACGTGAACCCACACACAAATGATTACATACACACATGAACACATACGGCCACGCAAGCACACACATGTACAGCCACGCACTGACATGCACACATGAACACATATGTACACCCACGCATGAACACGCGTGTGAACGAACACACTCGTATGCGCACACACAGAGTAAAAACACGCGTATTGTTTATTAATCAAATACACGTGACTCGTGCTCCCCCAAGGAACAAAACAACAGCCGTCATTGTCAGCGCTCGTGCCAGGCTAGGTGCACCTCGAGGCCGTCACGTGAAGTGATGGAAGGCTCCCTGCGGGCAGGAGTTCACGACAAAGACCCAGGTTCTATCGGGTAAACTGTGCTCAGCCAGCGATAAAATGCACACCCGTGGTCTAGTGGAGGGTTGCCTCAGACCATCATCCCCCGCAAGGGTGAAGGTCGATATCATCGTTACCACATTTCGTGGGGAAATCAACAGTGGCCGTCCAATGGATCGACTCGCCTCCGCCATGTCAATGTGGAATCTCCACCACCAGGGCTGTACACAGGCGATGAGCACCGCATCGCCGCAGACGAGGGGATGGTGTGGCGGTCACCACGTGCGCCCTCTTTGTCTCCCCAATGTTCGCACACCGCACCAAGTAGTCATTTAAGGTTGAGCCCACGTAGGGGAGGCCCAGCTATTCGGTTCAGATATTCGTCACGGATGTTGTCCACGA